CAACGCCCTACAGCACCGGTATGACCAGCTCCTAATCCACGTATTCTCGGTCGGGACGTACCAATTAGGTGAAACTTACGTACGTTTGCAACGACCAGAAAATAGAGGTTTTACGCAAAATACGACAATCGCTGAAAGGACTGGTAGTGGACTCGGGTGTGGATGCAGGAGACTCGTTGGTAGGCATGGCTAAGGCAATCACCGATAGCCCAACACTACAAAAACTAATTATACTATTGGGTAGGCCGGCCGAGTGGTTAGCATACAGAATTGTACGGGTTCACTGGTTCAGGGCATTACATGCGTTTAAGGAGCACCAGTTCCAGTGCCCGGTGCTGTACTTCATGTCCGAGACCAATGTGGTGGCCAACCCTACCAACACCAGGGCTATCATTAATGGTTAACAGAGTAGAGTGTCTTTTAGTCTATATACCCTAAAAAGTGTTTGATATTCTTGTGACAAGTTGAAATCTAATTTATTTGCCATCATGTATTATTAAAATCAATTTTTCAAAATTAGCATAATAATTTTTTGAGGTAACTTACACACTATTGTATTTAAATTCTAGTTTTATTAATAGATAAATTAAGAAAATTTTATAAATTTGCGTAACCAAGAACAAATATATAGTTACCAATTGCTAATAAGCAGGTAAAAAATAATATAATATTTCAACAAAAATACACACTAAATTAAGTCTACCAAATTAAAATGAATAGGTAAAATTATCATATTAATCTTTAACTAGTCTAATTGTTTAGCCATTTGACAAATATATTAAATTAAAATAATTTTAAAATGTATCACTAGATTGCAACTCTCTTTTAAACAAACATAAAAATCAATTAAACTATAGATTAATTAAAATTTTAATTAAAACATACCTTAACACATTTAACTTCTTTTACATGTAAACAAATTGTCTATTCATTGTATCCTTGTTCACTTTGCGTATATTAATACCAATCAAGTATAGTTTTTAAAACTAATTTCCCTGATATTTTACGTGCGATTAAAAAAAGATTATGTAAAAAATCTATTTGAGTAATTACACAAACTAATAAAAATATTCAATTAACTTCAATGCCATTCAATACACACAACATTTGATTATTTAAAGTCTTATAGTTACTATTTAATGTCTTAGTCAGTGTTTATAGTTGTACTGTATATATGCTTTTTCATTGTCCATCAAAAAATGAATAATATCAGTGACTATAGTGACCACCAATGGGACAAACAAATAGACCGGTGGCTAGTCTCCAAACTCGGCGAATACCTGGGCAACGACTCCACCATTTACTACTGGGGCTATGAATACTGGGAACAGGGGTCTGACCCCCGGTCAGACCACCTGCCACTTGTGGGCATTTCATTCGTGGGTTTAAGCGCCATTATTATGACATACCTGTCCATTGTTTTTGCATTAATACCGGAAATCATGCGAAAAAAGCAAGCTTATACTCTCAAAAATACAATGATTGCATACAATGTTCTACTCGTATGTATCATCAAAATGTAACTAATTTTTGACGATTATCTAAATTTCATAACTTTTTTCAGGTCCTAATAAACGGTTACTTTTTCTTCCGGGTCCTTTTCCACACGACACGACTGGGACGGGAGATGTGGAACTTCACGAACCCTAAGACCGATACC